TACTAAACGGGTACAAAATTCAATTTCGATCTTTTCAAGTTCAACCCAAATCCATCAACCATTATATTTCACTCACAATCATATTTTTACAATATCAAGTGAGAATATAAATTTATAATATTAACATATTAAGGTATGAGTAAAAGTATGCAAAATAAGTCATAAATAAAAGAAATAAATATATAATATTATATTATAATTATACACTTAAAACATTACAAATCATTATAATTATATTATTATTTTTATATATTTCACCCAATTTTAGAAATAAATGCTCACATCCGATATTTGATACTTTAATTAATTCTTTGATAATATTTTTATTAAAATTATTTGTGTATTGCAATTGGCCCGTGTGGCCCAGTGACTAGAGCTACTGAAAAGTACACATCTCCTTCCCCTGGATGGGTTTCGTACCCGCCCATGACAAAACTGTTCAAAAAAAAAATTATTTGTGTATTAATCATTAGTGACATGCTTTTTCATTTTAACCACGTCCAAATTTATAGTTTTTATTCATATCCAAACTATTTTATATTATTGTTAGACTCTTAAGGATACCTTAATGATTAACCGTTCAAAATTTTTATGTAAAAAATTTTAAATTTAAAATCTAAAACAACTATAAAAAGTTTGAAAATATCATATAATAAGTTAAAATTTATTTATATATAAGTTTTATAAACTATATTTATATAAAATCTTAATAATTTATCTCTTTATTTTTAATAATTGAGATTTATTCACTATTTATCATATTTATAATATTAGTGTATATCAACTCCGATTCACAAAAAAATTAAAGTTCCAACCTACACTTGAAAACTAAAATTTTAATTTAAAATTTAGAAATCTATTTAATTAAATATTAATACTTAAATTTGAAAATTGATTATATTATTTTAAATAATCAATTTCAAAATTTAAATATCGACATTTAATAAAATATATTTTAAAACTTTAGATTGAGTTTTAATTAAATAAAACAACAAAATTTAAGGTGAATATTTAAATTTATTTTAAAATTAAGGATTGATATGCTTTTTTTTATATTTATTAAAAATAATTATATTTTAAAAATAATATCTATCTGTTTTACTTTTTACATATTAAGAAAAGAAAAATTATTTTAAAATGATATCGTTTCAATAAATTCTATTAAAAAACTAAAATACTTTATTT